AAAATATCACCATGGCGACTACACCCGCGATCCAGGCCAAAATCTCCACGGCGCTCTCCGCCCTCGTCCATACCTAAATTTCCTAGTCGATCTTCGCCGCGATCCAGGCCAAAACACTACATGCCGATCACCACCGAGATCCTGGATCAAATGATCACCGCGATCTCCGTCGCGATCCAGGCCAAAATCTCCACGGCACCCTCCGCCACGATCCAGCCCCACATCTCTACGGCGACTTTGCCCCCACGATCCAGGCGAAGATCTCCCAAGCGCCCTCCGCTGCGACCCCTGCGAGAAACCGTCACGACAACTCAGCCAAACTGCCAAATCAAAATCTGCCCGGCGATCACCGTCGCGATCCAAGCCGGAATTTCCATTGCCATCTCCGCGGCGATCTCCGCTGCGATTTCCGCTGCCATCCGATACTTCACCGCGATCTTCGCGGTGAAGTATCCCCACGACTTCACGGCGATCTCCACTGCGATCCAGGCCAAAATCTCCACCGCGATCCCCGCGCCGGTCTTTACCCAAATCTCCTCGTCGATCTCTGCCGTGATCCATGCCAAAATCTCCACGTCGATCTCCACCGAGATCCCAGATCAAACGATCATCACCGCGATTTCCGTTGCGATCCAGGCCAAAATCTCCACGGGGCCCTCCGCTGCTTTGGAGGAGGAGGGGGAGGAGGAGGAGGAGGAACAGAAGGAGGAGGAGGAGGCGGAGGCGGAGGAGGAGGAGGAGGAAGAGGAGGAGGAGGAGGAGGAGGAGGAGGGGGAGGACCGTACATGGACATTATATTCGAACCCTGCGGCCCAAGATGCCCCCCCGACCCACCAAAATTAATATTGATGGCGTGGCGACGGGGGGGGGTGAGTGGACAGAAATATTCGAACCCCAAAACACCGCCTTTTCTGAGATCAACATTGATGTCGGGGGCGCGGGGGCGATTTAGAATCTCCCTCGAATGTGAGAGGGTTCGAATATATTGTCCATCTACTGTCGCGCCTCCGATGTGCTGCCAGGTCGTCCGAATGGTCGTCAAGCTTGGCGCGTTGCCGCTTGTTTTAATCGATGGCAAGCGTGTGCGCACCTTTTTTTCCGTGACACCGCGATCAGCAGTTTGCCGATAGTGAATAGAGGAGTCGAGGGTGAGCAGGAGGGATCGTGGCAGAAGAAGCCGGAGCAGTCGGTCGGTGGAGTAGGCAGGGGACGGCCAGCCAGCGGGGGCGCTGTGTTGCGTGCCAGATTTTGTTGCCAGCGCTTCACGCGCGAGTCAGGCGTAGCGTGCTGCCGCTTGTTTGAATCGATGTCAAGCGTGTGCGCGCCTCGACTCCGTGGAACCGCGTTCGGCCGTCTCCGTTGCAGACGGTGGACGGAGCAGGTCAGGGTGAGCAGGAAGGATGCTTCGGAAAATAATCATACATGTAAGAATTCAGACACCGAAATTCAAGACTGAATGGTCCTCTGGTACTTCTTCAGGTGAGCTTCACAAGCTCGCGATATCAACAAAAAACGGTGCGTAATGTTCCGTGGCGCCGATGGCGCGAAATTTTGTGTATTCCTGGTTTGTGTTTTGGGAACTCAATGTCCCCGTTGCCGAACAGTCCCCCTCGCCCCAGGGCCCCCAGGTTTTCTTTGGAGTCCTGGGCTGTAAGTGGGCGCGCGTGCAGCAAAGGTTTTGTCCATAGCCTTGCGTTACAGCCTCCTTCGAGTGCCCCCCATCCGCATCCTCCTCATCCTTCCTTCCTCTACGCATGTCTCCCCTCTTACATGTTCCACTTGCCATGCGTCTTGCATTGTCTTGCGGCGGATCCCCAGCCCATCCTAGAGTTGTCCGCTCGCTGCGAGTTCTCTCCGATGTCGTTGATGCGGTGAAGTGGCCGTGCCTGCAGAGCGCATGTCGTTCCTTTTCCCTCCTCTCTGTCGAGGACTGTCTCCTCGACCTATGCCTTCCCCACTTGCCTGTTGCTTCTTTTGATCCGTGAGCCACCCAAATCCGGATGCTCGCGCGGAGCTCCGCCTGTGCCTTTGCGTGCAGACACGACTGCGCCTGACTCCCTCTTCGTGGCGTTCCTCTGCCCTGCGCTTCCGGGTTGTGTCCAGATTGTTGGGTGGGTTTTCGAGGGCTGGTGACGTCGCGATTCTCGCCGGCGGCGTCTGGGAATGCCTAGGAATTCACCACCCGCCAAACGACCCCAACCCAACCCGAAGGCTTCAATTTTTTTCCATTTCCAATGGGAGGGGGTCGGGGAACATTGAACAAAACACATGGAACCCGTCCCCCCCCAACCCGAAGTTCGGGTCAAATTCGGGTCTTCGGGTTGGGTTGGCGTGGTCTGGTAGGTAGTCAGAAATGATCGGGGAGGGGTAGCAGCACCATGTAGGTGGCGATCTGCATCACAGCGCCTGTGTACACCACAGTGCTTGCGTGCACCACAGCGCCTGTGTACATCACAGTGCCCATGTACTCACTCGGCCAGACGCCCCGAGTGAAAACTGAGTGAAAACATCGATGGAAATTTTATGTTGCGAGAGAAAATCCATTCGGAAATCAAATCAGACGGGCTTGCAGAAACTGCAGGCGGGATTGCGCCAGAACATTGACCAAGGGTGCGCCTCAGGGAATCCTAGCGCGAGCTTGGCTAACTTTCGAAAGCTTGAACGCGTCAGAGTGTGACGCGCCTGAGCCCCCTGACATCTCGCGAGCCGCATCGTGTGACAGCTTACCATTCGAAATCAGGAAACACTGCAAAATATGCAATTGATGTACATGAGTAAGCTACCATACGTTTTTCTTTGATTTGTGTCGAGGCCATCAAACTCTCATTTCCCCAAAAAACCCAAACATCCAAACTCTCAGGGCTTCAGGGTTTCAGGTTTGACTCAAGATTCGGACCCTCGAAAACGATCGCCGCATGGTTTGAAGACTTGATTTTTGGAACAGCGTTGGGTTTTGCATCATTATGGTTTCGAATGTGTGTTTGCGTTAGATTTGGGATGGGGCAATGCTGGGATTATAGACGATGGCAACGCGGGTGTATTTGCGGATTGTAGCACGCACGTGCTTGCGATTCCGGGGGCGCGCTCGTTTCACATGCAATAAGTTTTTGACACTTCACGTATCCCCACCAGCCCATCCAGGGAAAATGCGTAGGCGAGATGCCTTGGCCAGGGAAGTGTAGCAGCACGCAATGTAGCAGCATTGAGTGCAACAAAGAGGGTTCCAAAGAGCCCCGAGAGGGTCTCAAGATGGCCCCAGGGGGCTCCAACAGGGGCCCAAGAGAGCCCCAAGAGGGGTCCAAGAGGGCTGTCTGGGGGCCCTCTTGGAGCCTGCTGGGGCCCGCTTGGAGCCCTCTTCGGGCTCTCTTAGACCCCTGGGAGGGCTCCCAGGGGGGTCCAAAATGAGCGTCTCGGGCTGTCCCCCAGGACCCCTTCTGGGGGACAGCCCAGGGACTCCTTCTTGGGGCCGTCTTGGCGCCCTCTTGGAGCCTGCTGGGGCTCTCTTGGACCCCTCTCGGGGCACTCTTGGAGCCCTGGGAGTGCCCCCAGGGGGGTCCAAGAAGGCCCCAGGAGGCCCCAAGAGGGCCCCAAGATGGCTCCAAGAGGGCCCCAAGATGGCTCCAAGATGGTCCTAGCAAGTATCAGTTCAAACTCCGTTTGACGGAGTTTGACAAGGGTCTCACTGAACCCCTCCTGGACGCTTCTTAGGGCCCTCAGAGAGCTCCCGCAGGGCCCCCAAAGGGCCCCAAGAGGGCCGCAAGAGGCCCCAAGAGGGCCCCGAGATGGCTCCAAGAGGGCCCCAAGATGGCTCCAATATGGTCCTAGCAAGTATCAGCTCAAACTCCGTCAGACGGAGTTTGACAAGGGTCTCACTGAGCCCCTCCTGGACGCTTCTTAGGGCCCTCAGAGAGCTCCCGCAGGGCCCCCAAAGGGCCCCATGAGGGCCGCAAGAGGCCCCAAGAGGGCCCCAAGATGGCCCCAAGAGGGCCACAAGATGGCTCCGAGATGGTCCTAGCAAGTATCAGCCCGAGCTCCTCCGAGCTCCTCCAAGCGCCCTCCCCAGGGGCCCGGAGCGGCCCCTCACCAATTTTCAAAATCACCTCCGAAAAGGCGATTTTTGAAAGTTGGTGAGGGCCTCTCCGGGCCCCTGGGGAGAAGCACGTTCGGTCCGCGCCCAGCGGTTTCGAAGGACCGCGCTGGAGGCCAGGAAGGAGGAAAACGGAGGGAAAACAGAGGCAGGAGGGGAAGGGAGGAAGAATGGATGGGGGGAGGGGCAGTGAGGGAGGGAGAGTGGGGCATCGGAAGGGGGGTGGGGCAGACGGGGGGGGAGGGAGGACGGGGCCTCGATGGACGAGGGTTGGGAGAAGGTAGAAGGTGCAAGAAAATGAGGGGGAGTGGGGGCCAGGGCGCAAGGCGCCCAGAATGGGCACGAACACACATGCACGTCGAGGCGGTCTTACGATCAAAGATGCGAGTCTGCGGCCCCCCAATAAGTTTGCTGTGTTTCCATTGGCCCCAGGCCCTGCATGCTGTGATTCTGTGGCGAAAGTGAGCCGTCGCGACTCGATGTGTTTCTGTCTGGACTTACCCTGGGGTGCGTGCCAGGACATCCAACCAGATCAACCGTGTTTGAGGTCGTGTGAGGGCGTAGGGTTCGATGCGATTTGATATGTGACATTGATTTCTTTGTTATGCTATGCCATTCGACGCTGCACAATGTTGCAATGCCATGTTATGGTGAGCGGCGCTATACTGTACATCGCTATGCTGCGTTATTGTTTGCATTGCGTTGCACATCATTGCGTTAACCCTCATCGCGTTGCATTGCGCAGGGCAGTCTCGAGCACAGAAGTCCCCCTCATTCAGGTTGCGTCAGGCTTTTGGGCGTTGCCCCCCTTACTGTCGTTAGTATCCGCGACGTCCACATTGCCAGCCTCATCTTCATTGGCACCATCGCCATCGTGGCAGTCTGTATCTGTAGCCATTTAGGCTCAAGGGTAATGGCCGCGCCGTCGGAGGCACCTGACAAACCAGAGGTCCTTCGGCTTCTGGAGAAATGGCACAAACCGTCCTTGCACCATGATTCTGCAGAGTTGCGCACGCTGGAACGCGTGACTGAATCAGGCAAGGAGTTTTGGAGGAGGCGGTTTGAGCGCAGCATGGCTGAAGCAGATGGGAGGCCGCTTCTGCTGTCGTATGCTGGCGATGGCACAAAACTCCGAACGGTGCATGGTTCCAGCGTCCGGTACAATGGCAAACGTGCCAGGCTACGTGGGCACCAGTTTCTCGAATACTACGTGCAGCTGTGTTTCCTCGAATTCGTCGACCCCTCAGGTCGCAAGAATGTCACGGTCATGTTTGATGAGCCAAATCCCATGACAGACGGCCAAGGAGCTGCCGCATCGGCTGCTTTCGCTTTGCGTATGATCATGAACCCGAGGAAATACGGCCATGGAGGCCTCATCATATTTCATTGCGCATTTGACCGCGCCTTATTAGCATCAGTTTCTCGCATATTGAAGCAATGGTGGAAAAAGGAAGACGTCCAACAAACAGATATCTACGAGCATCCGCCGGACATTTTGTATTTGATGCAGTGGTTTGTCGAAACAGGGTGCAGCATGCACGACACCCATAAGTCAATCGAGTGGTCTTTGTGGACGTGGTACCATAACAAATCTTTGATGAAAAACGTGCACTTGGCCATCGAAAGCCTTCGCGATAGCATGCAACAGTTGTGTGGGTTGACTCCCGAGTGGATGTGGGACGTTACGGTCGCTCGCTCCGCCGAGGAACTCGACGACCCAGACGATTTGAAACATTTCTGGTTGGCGATGGGCGTGGAGGAGAGTGTCGTGGCCACCCTGGTCAGCTTGCGCTTGCGGTACTTTGGGGGTCGACTCGAGATCCTTGACACAGGCGATGCGGGCGAGGACACCTTCACCAATATCAATTTCTGCTTGTTCAGCGTCTGGCGCTTGAAAAAGTTCAATGGCAGCAGGTGCGGTTGCGGCCCTTGTCCGAATCAACTTCCCCAAGGAGAAACGATGGGGGCCCCGTTAATTTTCTGGGTTGGAGGTTTTGGGCGGCCCAGGGGGCCTAGCGCAATTTGGGCGGGCGGGTGGCGGGGGTGGGTGGGCAGGCGGAGCGGTCGCCAGGGTTATCGACGGCGGCGAATGTTTTTTCGGTTCACGCTGAGGGGGGCAGGGCTACGGCGTTCCAGGCGCCTGGCAATCCAGTGTCGGGAAAACGGTTAGGCTGGGACCCCCCAGGTGGCATGCTGCAACCCGGGCTTGCCAGATGGGCGTCGGAGCAATATTTGGCGGGCTGCGCGGACTCGCCAAGTACGTGCTGGACCGCCCCAACGCGCAGGACTTTTACTTGGGAGGCGTGGAGCGGCTCGGTTCGGACGAACTTCACTTCATGGTGACGGCTGCTACGGCCAGTTTCCCAGCGGACGCAGTGATGCAGATGTTGTTCGGAGATTCCCGGGTGGCCAAGCACCTGTGCGCTCTGAAGACAACTATTCGTGAGGCGATGGATAAACTTTGCAACTATGGCGATGGTACATGGGGTCTCTTCGGGAGAGTCTGCAACATGGCTGGCCCTGAAGTGCGGCACTCGTCCATTGGCGCGGCCCACGTCGCCATCGGTTTCATGATGTTTCGCTTTGTCTGTAAAGCAGAAGGCGCCCCTTGGTGCATGGTTCGTGGAGACGTTGATGCCAATTTGGACGCTCTCAAACGAGGCCCGGTACCGACCGAACCCATCACGGAGCAGATGTGGCATCTGGAGAAATTCCCTCGGGGGCGGCGTGTCAACAGACAGGGTGTCGCGCTGCTGGCCGACATACCCTGGGACACGATTGCGGCGGAGCATTTGCACGCTTCGGGGGCGCTCCAGGGCAAATTTCGTCCTGACACAACGTGCGAGGGCCTGATGGCGAGGGCGTTCATACACATGAGTAAGAAGGTTCCCCCAGGCCTCGACGAGGACGAACGCCGCGAAGCCATGCTACACAATCGTTTGAAGCGCCTCGAGAAAAGGCGGCCGCAAAGTTACCAGGGGCGTGAGCAGTATGTGAAGGAACTCGTTGAGTTGTCCAAGGTCCGGGAGGCAGACGGCCAACGCGGGTTGAAGTCCAAAGACGTCATCAGGTTGCATGGCAGGAGTTGGGAAAGCATGGATCCCGCGAGGAAGCGCGATTACGATGGGAAGGCAAGGTTGATTCTCTCCCAGCAAGAGCAAGAAATTGACGAGGCCCTATGCGAGGGCTATGACAACCTGCAGGCGTTCAACAGGGAACGATTCAAAAAAGCTGCAGAGAAGCCGCCGCTCCGGTTCTTTTCCTGCAAACTGGCGCAGGGTGATTTCTTGGAGTGGGATGAGATCTTCAACAGCGGCGCCTTCAGGGGTGGTCGCGGTCTGGATGACATGCGCAAGGCAGCCAGAGAGGCGCCGCCTAAGCTCACCAAGACGTTTCTCGATGAGCTCGAGGGGTACGCAGCTGAGGAAGAGGGGAAGCACGACAGACCGCCCCGGTTCCCCGCGGTCGTTCGAAACAGGGAGTCGTTTGCGTCGACTATTTGGGGGCTTCAGACCGGCGGCGAGTGCAAGTATTACAAGTTTATCTTCGCAGCGCAGCGTCCCCAGTTCATCATGTTCGCCCCGCTCGGCGAGAAGGACACGTACTTCCCCGCGCACGTCAGCATGTTTGGCGGCAGCTGGGAAGATGTTTGCGTTTCTCAGTGGCTTCATAATTTCACCTTCGGTGCTTTGGATTTCGCTGCCTGGTTCGACCTTCCCCTACCAGACGACGCAGCCAGCATTCGGGTGCTCCGGAATGCGCATTATGCCGGCGGCTACGATATCGTGTGCGACGACGTGGGGGGGCCGCTCAGCGCGCTCTTTGTGTCGCTGCCGCGCGCCCCTGTCGCCGAGAACAGGAGCGGCGGGGCATCGAGCACGCGCGCTTGGAAGGATGAGTTCCTGAAGCGCTGGCCGTGGTTGGCGGGGAAGTTCGAGGAGGAGGAACGCGAGCGTCGGAGAGCTGCGGGCCGACGGTCAGGCTTGCGCAAGGGTGAGTCGGACGACGAGACACCCGAGGAGCAGCGCATGAACGACGAGGACATCGAGGAGATGATGGAGCATCTCCACGCCGTCCGGGAGGAGTGGGATTTGGGGCCAGATGCGCCCCAGGATTTCCTCCTCAAGGTACTGGGCGGACAATGGTGCATGGAGCATTACGGCGTGCCCTTCGACGCTTTCAAGGGCGAGGCGCACGGGGAGATGGCCATCGACTTCGCCGAGAGGTACCTTCGGGGCGCCACCGCACGATTTAATATATCATTTTACACAATACCCGGCGCGCATTTATGCGCGGAGACATGGCGCTGCAAAGCGCAGCATTTTTTTGACCGGTGGCTCGCGTCGGGCGCCGGGGGCTATGTTTTCACCGAACAAGATGTCATGGAGTACACTGAAACTCCGAAGTTTCTTCAGCTCGTCGAGGCGGCTACGGACCCGCGGGCGAAGAAGAGGCTTTTGTGGCTCTTGAACTTGCGCCCGTCTGCATAGATGTGGCTCGAATGTCCGTTGTGGGGCAACGGATACCTGTGTCCAAAAGTTTCGTCATACTCCTTCCCCCCCCTCATTCCACCCTCTCCCCTCTTCCCCTCTGCCTGTTCCTTCCCACCTTCCCCCTCGACCTCCCCGTCGCGCTCCAGCGTTGTCCTGAAGCCTCCCCGCCGTAGAACAGAAGCGCCCTGAGGCGTCCCCGTCGTGAGGGGACTGCGGGAGCCCACGGAGGCCAACGGGGGAGGGATCGATGGAAACCAAGGGGGATTGAGGGGAACCGAGAGGGACCGAGGGGGGGGGATCGAGGGGAACCGAAGGGGATGATCGAGGGGGACCGGGGGGGACCGACGGGGACCGATGGGGGAGAATCGATGGGGGAGGATCGAGAGAGACCTAGGGGGGCCGAGGGGGACTGAGGGGCACCGATGGGGGACACATAGGGACCGAGGGGGACCGAAGGGGAGCGAGGGGTCGGTTCAACGGGAGCTGAGGGGGAGGACCGAGGGGGGCCCGAGGGGAATGAGGGGGCCCGAAGGGGGAGGATCGAGGGGGAACCGACGGGGGAGGATCGAGGGAGACCGAGGGGGTCGACAGAGGGCGACTGAGGGGGAGGATGGATGGGGGCGGATCGTAGGGGACCGAGGGGGACCGAGGCGGAGGATCGAAGGAGAGGAAGGGGTATCGAGGGGGGCGAAGGGGATCGAGGGGGAGGATCGAGGGAGGCCGAGGGAGAGGATCGAGGGGGACCAGGGGGGACCGAGGGGGGGCCGAAGAGGGGGATCGACGGGAGAGGACCGAGGAGGACGACGAGGGCCGAGGGCGGGACCGAGGGGGACCGAGGGGGACCAAGGGGGATTCTGAATGAAACTTATGCCGTACTCATAGTGAATTTCCTTCCGGGTTCTGAATGAAAATTCTGCCGGATTCTGAGTGCAAGCTCTGCCGGATTTTGAGTGAATTTTCTGCCGGATTCTTGGTGAATACTTTTTGCGTTTTTGCGCGAGCGGGCACGAGCAGGATCCAGGAACAGTATTCACTCGGTTTCCTCCCAGTTCTCAAAGAGGAATTCGTTCTGGTATTCATTCAGGTTGTCTCTCAAGTATTCTGCGTGTTTAGATGCTCGTCGTGGTCCTTGTGGTCCGTGGCTGGGGCCTTCAGTCGTTGGGGCGTGTGGTGTGGCGGCAATCGAGCGCATGTCCTGGAGCGGTGTTTCAATGACCGTGGGTTCAAGCCGAATCCAGCCGTGGCGGCGGGGGTCCGAACGCATCGCCGCGGGGCCCAGATTCTTTGAGTATTTGGGGCCTCTTGGGGGCCTCTTGAGGGCCTCGAGGATTTCAGAAGGGGTGGCATTTGCAACCAATGTTATTCCCCACGTGCTGCTGCTCTTGGAGCCCTCTTGAAGCCCCAGGAGAGGTTGCATTTGAAACAAGTGTTATTCCTCATGTTGGGGCACTTTTGAGGGCCTCCCATTTGAAACCACTTGTATTCCTCATCCTGCGGCCCTCTTGAAGCCCTGGGCGAGGTTGCATTTGCAAGCAGTTTTACTCGTGACGCTTCGCGACTCCCCACAAGCCCATCCACGGAAGATGCCTAGGCGAGATGCCTTGGTCTGGAAAGTGGATAAGCATGCAGTGTAGCAGCATGCAGCGCAACAAAGAGGGCCCCAAAGGGTTCCGAGAGGGGCTCGAGATGACTCCATGGGGGCTCCAACAGGGGCCCAAGAGAGCCCCAAGAGAGGTCCAAGAGCTGCCGTCTGGGGGCCTTCTTGGAGCCTGCTGGGGCCCTCGTGGCACGGGCGCGGGCCCGGCGGGCACTGGGACCGTGACGCCATGACGCCTGGCGTGCCCGCGGACTGTGACGCCGTGGCGCCGGGCGGACCCCTGGACCGTGACGCCGTGACGCCTGGCGTGCCCGCGGACTGTGACGCCGTGGCGCCGGGCGGACCCCTGGACCGTGACGCCGTGACGCCTGGCGGGCCCCGGGGCCGTGACGCCGTGACGCCTGGCGGGCCCCGGGGCCGTGACGCCGTGACGCCTGGCGGGCCCTGGGACCGTGACGCCGTCACGGCGTCACGGGTCCCGGGGCCCTCACCAGGGGGAGGAGGCCTCTCGACGGGGCCGCCAGGCCTGGGTCTGGCTTGGTTAATAGGCCCTGTATGAGCCGGAGTGCGGAGTAGGGCTGGCGGGGAAGGCGTGGACGCGGGTGGGTTTGGATTCGCAGAGGGTGGACCCCGGGTCTTCGATCCAGCAGTGCGGTCCCGGAGGCGCCTTCGGAGCGCCTCCGGGTCACCCGGAGGTGGGTCTGGACCGTCTCCGGGTCACCCGGAGACGGCCTCGGAGCGCCTCCGGGTCACCTGGAGGGGTCTGGACCGTCTCCGGGTCACCCGGAGGCGGCTTCGGGGCGCCTCCGGGTCACCCAGAGGCGGCTTCGGGGCGCCTCAAGAGGGCCCCAAGCTGGCTCCATGAGGGCCCCAAGATGGCTCCAAGAGGGCCCCAAGAGGGCTCCAAGATGGTTCTAGCAAGTATCAGTTCAAACTCCATCTGACGGAGTTTGACAAGGGTCTCACTGAGCCCCTCCTGGACGCTTCTTCGGGCCCTCAGAGAGCTCCCGCAGGGTCCCCAAAGGGCCCCAAGAGGGCCGCACGAGGCCCCAAGAGGGCCCCAAGATGGCTCCAAGAGGGCCAAAAGATGGCTCCGAGATGTTCCTAGCAAGTATCAGACCGAGTTCCTCCGAGGTCTTCCAAGCGCCCTCCCCAGGGGCCCGGAGCGGCCCCTCACCAACTTTCAAAATCACATCCGAAAAGGCGATTTTTGAAAGTTGGTGAGGGCCTCTCCGGGCCCTTGGGGAGAAGCACGTTCGGTCCGCGCCCAGCGGTTTCGAAGGACCGCGCAGGAGGCCAGGAAGGAGGAAAACGGAGGGAAAACAGAGGCAGGAGGGGAAGGGAGGAAGAATGGATGGGGGGAGGGGCAGTGAGGGAGGGAGAGTGATGAGGGAGGAAGCAGGATTTTTGACACGGCGCCTGTATCGATACATATTTGGAGCATCGATGCCCCCAGTGAGAGGCTTTTCGGCCATCAGACAGTTCGTGTCTTGGCAGTGCCAGTGCAGCATTCCCCTGAAACCTGAAATGGCATGACTTCCACCATCGCCTGGATACCGGGCCCACCCGCTCCAGGGAATTGAAAGTGTCGTGGGCTATGTCACGTAATTGTGTGTTCTGAGGTCTCGAACTTGCTCTCGTTTTGGCCCGTCCGCGTGGCCGTCTGGGCTTAGATTTTCTAACGGGGGGAACCACGATCACGTGCATCCAGAGATCGGTACCCGAACACCGCCTTCCCTGCATATTTGTGCACCATGGCTGCGGCCGCGACGCCAGGGAAGAAAGCCACCGTGGATGAGTTGGCAGAGCAGCTTACCGCTAACAAGGCGAACAAGGCGGAAGTCGAAAAGGTTCTCAAGAGAAAGAAATACGACAATTTCAAATCGTTCTCCGATGAAGAATGGAATGGCCATCGGGATGCAAATGGCTTCACCTGCATGGACAGGATGAAGGAGCGCATCGAGCAGAATCTTGAGGATCCCAAGGGGTTCCCGCTCGGAGCGAATTTCTTTTCAGAGCTCAAGCGGGAGTTCCGGAACGACAATCGCCCTGAAGCACAACTTCAAGTGGAGAGCGCAACCCAAGATCAGATCCAACCACGTCTCTGGAAGGCCATGAACGAGTTCGCGAACAAAGGGTCGCGAGCTCAAATGGGCAGCGCTCTCATGCTGATGGAGTCGTGCAACGAGGCCGAGTGCGTTGGTGTCCTGCAGTACGCGTTGGAATTGAATCCGCAAACCAGCGCCGACCAGCACAAGTGCGCCATGGACGTGGTGAGGTGGATGGTGCGCATGGAGATTGAGACTAAGTATCCAGACCATTTCAAACAAATGATTCCCTGGCTTACCAACCTTTTCGGCCACCTCCACAAGCAGGCGAAGGGGGTCAAAACGAAGCCGTCAGCTTTCGTGAAAACCCACAAGAGTTACATATTCATGGTGTTGCCCAAAGCCCAAACGGAGAAGATCATTTCCCACGAGGGGGCGATCAAAGACCTCAAGGATGAGATTGCCATCGTCGTGAACAGCGGTGACCTTGGACAGGTATTGTTTGGGCCTGCGCTAGTGGGAGTCATCGCGGACGAGGTCAAACAGGTGATCCAGAAGGGGGTCGAGGACTTCTCGAAGCTGCGTCGGTTCGACCGGGGGGTGATCATCGACTGGACGAAGAGGGTCTTGAAGGAGGTCGAGAGAGTGCCCCTCATTGAGCACCTCCCCGAGAAGCGGCAGGTTGAGTTGGCGTACAGGCAGACGACTTTCCCGAAGACCGTGAAGACCACCTTAGAGCACGTCGAATCCGCCCTCGAGCTTGCCGCGCTGACGATTGCAGTGGATGCAGAACTTGTGCCTTACTTATGGTGCGAGGCCGACCTCGGCACTACGAGGGGGGCCGTCCTGGAGGGCTTGGACATGGCAGAAGACATTCTGGAGCCCTGGCGGGATGGGCGCACGCGCTCGAACTCGCAGATAGGGACTGCCAAGGACTCCGCATCCATCAAGACTTTCTTGCAGAAGCGGGGCGCGAGCCTCGCGTCGGCGGACCCGCACTTCCCTCTGATGGGGTCGTGGTTCGAGAGCATGATGGGTGAGGCTGGGGCCACGTGCCTTGAGGAGTGTGTCCGTGCGTTGCTGCCCACGGCTGCGAAGGGTCTGGGCATCGATCAGGTGGCGAAGAGGCTGCGGGGGTTGCAGGGCAAGGGCATCTACGCTTTCTGCGACGACAGGGGCCGGGCCGTGGTGGACAACACCTTGAATTGCATCGACAAGATCCAGGAGGGCAAGGCGCCGCAGTTCCTGAAGAACGCCACCCCGTTCATGGCGTCGGTGAAGGATGCCTTGAAGTTCTTCTGTGCTTCGGGCGTTCGCAAGATGATGGCATCGATGGTAATTATTGGGGCCACCGCGCTCAGGAATACCAGTGCCACAGCGGCGATGGCATGGTAATCCCGGCAGGCGATGGCGGTTTGTAACACCGACGTTGCGTGCCATTGGTGTTCGTAGCAACGACGGCGATGATGTTGACGGCGGCGTCGGTGTCAGTTTCGGTGGCGGCGATCTCGATGGAGCGTGTGATTATTATCTCGGTCATGGCGGTAGCGGCAGTGATTGCGATCGCGACGGTGGTGGTGATTGGCAGTGCGGTCGCGGGGCACCGGCGGTGGCGGGGGGGGTGGCAAATGGTGGGAAAATCCAGGTACCACCGAGGGCCCCAATAAGGCGACTCTGTCCGGAAAGGCCGCGATAGATCACATCATGGACCGCCTGGGCAGGGGCGACAAGGCTAAAATCACTTACGACGATCTCGAACTGCCGACGAAGTACCAGTGGCTGCTGGACGAGCCGCAGACCGTGGCGCACAACACTTATTACAAGACCGCTCGGGAGAATGGATCCAAGAGCTTATCCGCAGCAGCGGGCAAGGCGCCCGCTGGGAAGCGAGCGGCCGCGTCGTCGGCCTCGTCTGGGCCAGCCGTCAAAGCCGCAAAGACCGACAGCGGCAAGTCCAAGAAACAGTCCGAGGTGTCCAAGACATTGGCCATGTTCAACGGCGGCAAGCTGTTCAAGAAGGCCTCGTGACAATCTGAGGCTTTCGGATCGTCGGCACGTCGTGTCGTTGGCCTCCGTGGGCCGACGGGGGGCCGCATGAGTCAATCGGACTGGGGTCTGATTGCTGTCCAATCTTCTGGGGCTTAATTGGTGCGGGGTTCACTTCCTCGTCAGACGTACTTGGAAGCGTGGCGCGAGTCGCCGCGCTCTTTCAGCTTCGCAGTAGCCGCGCCTACCTGCGGCCTGCGATGGTTCGCCAGGCTCGTTCGGCCTGCCAGGGGATGAGGGCAAAGGCCGCGGTAGTTACGAGACATTGGGGTGGGGGTGGAGGCGGTGGAGGACGAGGTGGAGGAGGAGGAGGAGGACGGGGGGAAGCAATTGGGGCGAAGGCGGAAGCGGAGCAGAGGAGTACGAGGAGGACAGCGACGACGAGGAGGAGGGGCGAAGGCGTAGCAGAGGAGGACGATGAGGAGAGCGAGGATGGCCTTTCACCCGTTACACTTGGCAGGTGCGTGCGAGGATACCACGGGCCGGGGCAGTTTTCCGCGGCCAGCGCAGGGAAGAGTCATCGCAGTCTTCTCAGGGGGCACGTTGGCGCGAGGCCCACGTACAAACGTTGCCGTTGCCATCGTCGGCGCTGCTGCGTTCCCCGGTTCGTTTCTTGGTTTTCGAGCCCCTGCTATGTCCATGCAGCGTCTCCGGTGGCTGCCCGAGCGCGGGCGCAGTCGAGTTCCCGACGTTTGAGCCCCGACCCAAGGGGCAAGCACATAAGTTTCTTTTCGCATCAGCATGGGCGTTATCGTTCTCATTGGCATTCGCAGATACATTCATGGACACGTCACCGCACGACCCACACATCATAGCATCCCATACCACATCACAACTGATATGAACAGCAACGCGTTTGAGCTTTTAGCGTGCCATCTCTACCGCAGCGCTGCCCGCGCTCCTTCTGGATGGGGCGGTCGCGGACGCGACCATGGGGAGGTCTGGAGGTTACGAACGCGGGGCTCAAGGATGAAATCAGATGCAGGAGGTTTGTCTTCAGCTGGTTCTGTGTTTTTGTGGGAGTGCGGATCGCCATGCCTCCATCAAAATGGGGGTCAAGTGGCTGGCGGGCCCCCCCCTGGGATTGAGGGGGGTGGGGGTTCCTAAGGGGTAAACGCGTTATGGCCTATTCATTTTGGAAACGAGTGCGCGGGTGCCGGCACGCAGGGAGGGATGCCTCAGGGGGCGCGTCCCGTTGGAACCCACGCTTTGACGAGGCCTGTGACGTCCTAGGTTCGGGCCCTAATGTTATGTCGGCCCTGGTGAACCATGTTCGCTTTGTTTATCGGCCATTTGGCTGGGACAGAAAGGCTCTCGGCATCGATGTTCCTCGAGCGGTGATTAGTGGCGAAGCCTCTGTGGAAGTGGGCTGAAGTAAAACTTGCGAGGAACAAGGAACGACATTCCCCGTGCCAGCACATAGACGCATGAGTGGGCACCATGGGTGCTGTCACGGTTTTCGCCGGCCTTGGTCGATAAGGAGTTGGGAGTTGGGGGGTCGCCTTGGCCCGTGGCGGATTTGCCGAAACACGACTACGCGATGTCACGGACTCGGTGCTTCACTTCTGTGGTGGGGGGGGCAGGATTTCCCGAGTTTCGGCCACGCACGCAGGACAGTGCATGTGCCGTTGCGTCCACAGTAGCATAGTGTGAGTTGTCGCGCGTGCGATGCCGTCCACTGGGGGGCGCGATCAGCGGAGCAGCATCGCGCGTTCGGCGGGGCTCGAAGGCGCCGATTGGCAGCCGATCGATTTTACGACCGTGCCCCGGTCACCGCCACTCAGCGTCGGCCCGCCGAGTTTTCGGATGCTGCCCTTCTTCGCCCCCCCCCCCTCCCAGGCCACATGCGCCCCAGGGCGAGCGGGGAACGCCTCGCGGTGGGTGGTGATCTGGTCGGCGGAGCCCCCCCCCTTGGGATTGGGGCGGGGTCCCCACAGGAGTGGCTTAATTATTTGCCTTATGCGTGCTACAAATAGTGCGCGGGTGCTGGAACGGAGGGGGGGATGCCCAAGCCGATTGTTGCGTTCCCGTGGACGGAGGCACTGGCAACGCTTTATATCTTGTTATGGCCTGGTACGAGGGGCACAACGTTGTATGGTAACCATTATCTAGAGTTCCGCGGCGCGGCGTTGCGTGTTTGTCTACATCAAATAATGGTATTGTCAATGTGCGCAATTGTGGGATTATCAGTTTGATTCGCATGCCACGTCAGATTGAGTCAGTCCTAGCGCGTTCCTGGCCACAGTCATTGCATGTTATGTTGGCGTAGCCTCATTGCCTTTGATTGGCCAATGTTCTCCGTCGCAGAGTGACGGTCGACATCCACTCCGACCTCGCAGGATGGTGTCTAGATTTTTTTATTCATGCGCGAAATTCTCCCAGTAGCTCGGGGTGCTCATCCGAGTGAATGTACACCACACAGCAGCCGCGTACAACACAGCGCCAGTGTGTGTGTGTGTGTGTGTCACAGTGCCTGCGGGCACCACAGCGATTTTGTACACCACAGCGCATGCGTACACCACACCAGCCGTGTGCAACACAGCAACCGTTTACACCACAATGCCTGCGTGCACTACAGCGCCTGTGTACACCACGGCGCCTGCGTGCACCACAGCAAAAGTGTGCAACAGAGCACCACTGTTGCATATGTCGAAGTTTAGAATCCCTATGACAGATGGGAGCGCCTGGGAATTCTACTGAAACACTTGTGTTGTTCTAGGGGTTTGAAACATTTTTATATAGGTGCAATCGACCTACTCATCCTCCTGATCCTGCTCCTGCTCTTCATTCTCCTCCTGCCCTCCCTCCCTCCCTCCCTCCTCCTCCTCCGCCATCTCCTCCTCTTCCTCCTCCTCGTCCTCCTCCCTCTTCTCTCCTCTCTCCCTTCTCCTCCTCTTCCTCTTCCTCCTCCTCCTCCCTCCTGTCTTCTCTCCTCTCCCCTCTCTCCTCCGCCTCCTCCCCATCATCATCATCCTCCCCCTCATCCTCCTCATCACCTCATCCTAGAACGTCCTCCTCATCCCTATCCCTTCTCCTCCTCCTCCTCCTTTTTATCTCCTCTTTCCTCCTCCTCCTGCTCCCCGTCACCCTCCTCCTCCTCCTGCTCCTCCGCCCCCTCTTAATACTGCTGACCCTCTCATCATCCTTGCCGTCCGCCCCATCATCGTACTCCTGCTCCTCCCTCATCATGCTAGCTGCTCCCCCCTCCCTCGTCCTCCGCAAGTGCCACATCTCCCCTCACATCTGTATGTGTTTCTGGTGCAGCGTCTTCTCCTCGTCCTCGTCGTCGTCGTCCTCCTCCTCCTCCAGCATCCTCATCTGTTCCCCCCCCTCATCTCCTCCCTCTTCCTCCACTTCCAATAGCATCCCCCCAGTGCCGCCACCCTTCCAGCGCCTCCCCCCCTTCCTCCCTCCTCCACCTGTCCCCCTCCGCCCTCCAGTGCCATCTCCTCCTCCTCCCTCCCTCCCTCCCTCCCTCCCTCCCCAGCTCCCTCCAGCCATTCCTGTCTCCCTCCCTCCCTGACTGGACTTCTGCACTGACCACTGCAACTGCAACTCCCTGCAACTACACTGCACCAGTGCTCGCACGAGAATGCTGATACGTGTTTTTCACCTCTGCCGCACCCCACTGCAGTGTGCGCGTCTGGAGGCTAAACGCTTGAGCGTCGACCTAAAGCTTGGCAGGCCTCTCGCACGAATGGCTTGGGATCGAGCCAACATGCGCTGCAGCATGCCCGTTCCCTGTCAAGAACAACGAAAAAAGAACGAGCCCTGGAAAGTTAAAACCTTCATTCGAACGCGATGGAATCGGGCATCTTACACTAAAAAACTCCAAAGACGAAAAACGACCCTTTTCGACTGAAAGGGGTCGGTTTCACTGGCGGCCTGAAACTCGACGAGAGCACCAGGGGAAAACCCGTTCAGCGAACATTCAACATTCGCTCAAATTTGTATCATACACGTTTTCCCGAGATACGGGCTCGCTTCATTCGTATCCTACACGGGCTCCCAAGATATAGAACCGCTTGCACTCGCATCCTAGACGGGCCCTCAAAAGAACCAGCACATGACGAAAACTTTCTCCCGGAATCAACTCCTCCATGGGGGGGGGGGAGTATCACGAGAGGGAAAAGCCCGTCTTATACAAAGTCCTTCCTACCCTCGCAGGGCCATCAGTCCACGCCCCGCTCTCGGCAGCACGCTAGCGACAACAAGCAATACTGCTAGAGTGTGTTGCGAGCTTCCCTGCAACAACCTTTGGAACGCTGGTGACCGCGCGGCCCGGCTTGCGAGGCGAGGTATCATGGGATGCACTACGGCTTGAAACCACGCGATATCTCAGCTACTGCACTCGGTGATGGCACGGGGCGTGGGGCAGTGGGCAACTGAGTCAGCGATGGCCCGTGCTATCGAGCCCTGTGAATTTACGCGCGGGTACAACCCGTGCTCAGGAGCAACCGTGAACGTCAGGTTCTGGTACACGTCGCCCTCGAGAGTGCACTGCGGCTGGGCGGTGGAGCCGTTGAAGATGGCATTCTCCACGGCGCCGCCCGGTCCGAACAGAGAATTCCCTGCGCTGTTCATGACCGACGAGAGCATGAGGCGCGCCCCTGCTGCGAGGAATGTGATGCCAAATTTGACGCATACTCCCAACGTCAAGGAAATGGCCACGGCGGCTGCCCCGAGGAGACCCACCAATGAACTCCTCGCAAATTTTGCAACATGCCTCTATAAAGTTGCTGCCCAACGTAAACCCCACAACACCAGCGCAAGAGCACGCGCTGCCAGCAATCACTGCTCAAGGGCCTGTGCGGGGGGCTGAAGCGGCATTTCGCTCCACTCGCCCTCGGCGCTCACGTGGCGGTAGAACGCCTGTCCAACGTGGTCTTTGGTCTGGACTGTGCCTGTAAACTTGCCCTCGCTGACCACCTGGACCTTCCTCTTCCACTGCTCGAGGGTCTTGAAGCGCTGCACGGCCTGCCACCAATCCACGAAGGGCATGGGATTGCCATCGAGGTTCGTGGCAATATCCTTGACCTCTTGCCGGTTCACGCCGACGCCCATGAGGGGCAATGCCGTGGACTGGATCTCTGAAGTCACTGGCGCGGTGAAGAGCGTTGCTGCCAAGGCCCCGGCCTCAGGGGGCGGCGCTGGCGGGCGTTCCGCCCGGCCCCCCCGGATCGCTTCCACGCAGAGGTTCTTGATTTCCTTGATGTCACTGCTGCTGGAGGCGACTGTCATCTTGATCTCCTTGATCTCGTCGCGCTGCAGCTCCGTTTGCTCCGTCAGAGCACCTACGTCCTTCTTCAATTTCTTGAACGCGTTCGAACTCTCGAGTTGGGCGTCGAACGACATCGGCGAGGTGGTGCCTCCCGTCAGCCTCGTCGATTCCTTCACTGCGGATTCCACTTTTGCTTCGTGCGGCGCAGGGTCATTGCTGGCCGGCTGGCTCTGCTTCAGCACTGTGACCAGGGCCGATGCAAGCTCTCGGGCGGACTCGGAAGGTTGCGGCGCAGGGGGTGCCGCGGCAGGTGCAGGCATAGCCGCCGCCGCCCCGGCAGGCGCAAGCGGGCCCTGGAGCTCCTGCACCCTGCACCTGGGACAACATCATCCCCATCTGCGCGAGTTGCCCCAAGCCCTGCGCCCCCTCGAGTGCCCCCCGGAACTGGGACACGATGTCGGAGATCGGGTTGTTGTTCCCCTGACCATGCCGGGGGAAACGCTGGCCATGATGATGCCGGTCGTAACCCTGCCGGTCGTACCCCTGCCGCTGATTCGGGCAGCCCATCTCCCCCGCGCTGCGACGAGAAGGTGCACAGATGCTCGCTGTCTCCTCCGCTCTCCCTACAGCTTGAGAGAAGACGCTGGCCCGCAGATGATGAACATGAGAAGGATGGAGTACGAAACGCTTGCAAGTCAGGATGACGAGAGTAAAAGACTGCAATATGATATCAGAGTGAGGGCCGGGAGGGAGGAGGTGAGACCAGAAACGCTTTAATATTGAAATTGGATAACCAAATCTGATGTACTGCAAGATCTCCATGCACGTGAGAACCATGAAATCCAGTCTATCGATACCAACTGTAAGCCATCTGTGTATTTTACTCTTAAGTATAGAACGATGGGTACTTACATCGCGATGGGTAGCTGAGCCAGGGTATATGGACAGAGCGAGTTTACATAGTTTGGTATGGTCCCCACTTAGCAGAAAATGCTGTTTTTTTGTGAACCATTTGATATAACATACTACCCCAGGAAACATAGACCACGAAATCCAAATATTTGTGAGACGCTACCCCGTTTGGGTATTCATCGGATTCCCCATCCAAAGTAAAGGATACAACGCCAGCATACGTCTTCTGGACAAATTTGGTCACGCACCGCTTACGCAAAACAAAGCTAACGGCAATTAAATCATCGACGTATCTTCCAGCCGCCACGGTTCGAGCTCGATACGCATATCGTTCATCAGCTTCTTGTTCTTGCTTGGCCAGTGTGAGTTCCAAAGTGGTTCCGCTGAGGGGTCCACCAATGGGGGCGCCCTGCACTTGGCGCAGGAACATGTTGCCGAACCGGAAGAGGCGAAACCCAACGAACCCTTCGATCACCCTCTGAAGCGCCTTGATGGTGAAGACCGTCCGGTCCCGGTACGGCACGAGCAGGGCTCCGCCAGATACAACTTTTGGTTTTCTCGAATGCAATGCAGATACTGTAGCGCACGACCCTACTGTTGTAGCTTTGGCGAACAGATTGTTGATCGAATCTTGTATATCCTGGGAGTTGAGCTCTTCGTAGGCTTGCGACGCATCCAATACGACCAGGGTGGGGGTGTGCATGATGTCGCCGCACTGCTCGCAGCGGTGCTCAACGCTGTCTGGGCTCGGTTTCCGGAGGTAGGCTACTCTGTCTTTGAACTCGTTCGGGGCGCAGTGGAGGTTCGTGAAGGACCATCCTGGGGTAATTATACGGATAAGGTAAGCAACACCGCGCGATACTTTGCGAAACACGTTTCTATGCGGGATGTGGATGAAAGACACGATGTTCCTGAGACAACTGTGATTCTCTTTGGAGCAGGTGTGCCGGCCGTCTCCTGGACATGGTTCCGCTGGTGAATCACATTTTAGCTCGTGCGGGAGGTGGCAGAAGTTGATCCCCGCCGAAATCTTACGACCCATCTTCGGAAAACAACTCTCCAAGATTGACCGGTAAAGCTCAACAACTTGCCCCCGTGGAAGTGAGATCAGTTTCCAGCGGTCAAGCCTCTTCGAAAACAGTGCCAGCCATCTCATCATCAAACATCGTGTGCTTCCTGTCCACAGTCGATCTGGATCCTTGTCCTCAGGGATGAAAGCGACGCCCTGCTTGTCCGCTATCTTGCACCCCCGTAGCGCCCCCCATACTGTCTCAGACTCAGCTTTGATATGATGCGAGGGCACTCCTATACAGGTGCGCTTGAAGATGCAAGGATTTAGCGGGCACGTGGTCACCAGGGACTGGTCGAAACCATGATGTTGTAGCCAGCGGCGACATTCGGCTGCGGCACGCCGTACTTGCTGTAGCTGGGTTCGTGGATTTGTCTGCAGAGGTTGCTTTCCGCACAAGTCGAGGCGATGCATATCCCGCCCCATGGCTGCATTTTCAAGTTCGGCGTTGGTTACTGTGGCAAAGTCTTCAACAAGAAAATCTTGGACCTTTCTCTGCGCGTTCGTCAATAATCGCCCAGCTGGGCCCATGGGCTTGTGGGCGACGGAAAACATGTCCATCATGAGTCGACTCCGACATGGTTTTCCGATGCGGTCAGACTGAAGCACCGCCCGAATCCATCTCCGGACAGGGTTGATGATATCTGCATTTGGGACCTTGAAACACTGGCGCCGGGGTATGGGCAACGATAATTTCTGCATGTATGCCGCGAGGTATCCCTGCACCTTTGCTTGGAGAAAACGGTTAGGAAGTAGAGCTATAGTAATCCACACCCTGTATAGACTATCATTGTTCATGCTTCGTCTTTCTGAATATTTGTTCCAATGTGTCTCTTTTGGTTTGTGCGCACAGAACCTCAGAAGCAATGGCAGCATGAACACATTGTACAGGTCGAGCGGGCCGATGAAGCTGTCGCGGTCTACCATATCCTGTAGGAAATAATCGTACACATCAAGAAACGGAAGTCCCAGGACTCGGCGTAGATGTGCACGTTTGGATGTATAGCTCAACGTCTGCTCAGCATCTCGTTGTCGTTTTTCACATAGGTATGTGGGCCAGATATGGGCCAAGTCGGCTGTTGTAGGGGATCGCCAACGCTGTCGGCGGTCTTTTGCACTCGCTCGTTGCCGTCTTGCACCTTGCTGGGAGAGTTTTCGATGACGAGGGGGTCGGTCGGTGAACTTCGGGCAAGCGTTGTTCGCCTGAGGGCGGTGCAGCTCGATGAGGGCTGCCTCAACTGCTGCATTCCTGGCCGCACTTGTGAACTGCACGAACATGCCGAAAAACATCGATTGCCCATTCCCTTTCGATAGAATCTGATACCGAGACTTTTCCGGCATATGCGTGCACCCACGTCGTACTCGACACCAGACTTGAACGTGCTCGCGGAACCTGGCAGCTCCACCAGGCAGTTTCCCAGACTGTCGTTGCAATGCGCCTCTACCAATGTACGTACTTGTGATTCCTAGCTGGCACGCGCGCCCGTGCAGCGAGGCGGTCGAAGAGTTTTTTGGGGCCAAACGAACATTCACATTGCAGCTTCAGGAGATCGACCAACTCCAGTGCATGATGGAACTTAAAAGGACCAGATCGACTGTGTGCGCTGCACAATGTGGGGCCCAGAGCTTTGGAGGCTGCGTGGGCCCTGTTCTGGGCCTTGTTGCTTCCAGCCCAGCCAGCCCGTAGCGTACATATTGTTAGCATTGACGTCGCCCAGGCGAAAAACATGTACATGTTCGTGTTTGTGTTCTTGGACTCGTTAATCATTTGGACGAGGTCCTGCTGGATGGCGCGGATGGCTGCGATAAACAGTTCCGAGGAACGGGGCTCCATCAAGTGCCATAACACCGTCAAAGTGGCATGTTCGACTGCGTCGGGAACACGATGGTTGGTCCCAAAAACTGCTGGTACCCCAAGTGATGCCCCCAGCTTTCCCAACCGTCCTATCTGCAATGCAAGTGCTGCTGCGCAGACGTCTGTATTTCGGCGCGTCGTAAGGGGCTGTCTTGATTTTTCAAACTCGATCAGGTCGGTTTCGAACATGCTTGTAATATTACCTCGAGGTGCGCCCATTCTGCCCGTAGGCAACGGGCGTGCGATAAAGAAGACGCGGTCCGAGAGCCCTGCGAAAAAAATACCAAGATGAACCCGGATAGTAACCCCAATAAGCGTATGAACAAAATGAATAATATGTAGGGTATGGAAGTGCTGGGCCTTCGGTGCAGAGCTATACCACCGCCCCTCCGGTATGACCCAGGACCCCCTGACTGGACTTCTGCACCGACCACTGCAACTGCAACTCCCTGCAACTACACTGCACCAGTGCTCGCACGAGAATGCTGATACGTGTTTTTCACACCTGCCGCGCCCCACTGCAGCGTGCGCGTCTGGAGGCTAAACGCTTGAGCGTCGACCTAAAGCTTGGCAGGCCTCTCGCACGAATGGCTTGGGATCGAGCCAACATGCGCTGCAGCGTGCCCGTTCCCTGTCAAGAACAACGAAAAAAGAACGAGCCCTGGAAAGTTAGAACCTTCATTCGAACGCGATGGAATCGGGCATCTTACATTAAAAAACTCCAAAGACGAAAAACGACCCTTTTCGATTGAAAGGGGTCGGTTTCACTGGCGGCCTGAAACTCGACGAGAGCACCAGGGGAACACCCGTTCAGCGAACATTCAACATTCGCTCACATTTGTATCATACACGGTTTCCCGAGATACGGGCTCGCTTCATTCGTATCCTACACGGGCTCCCAAGATATAGAACCGCGTGCACTCGCATCCTAGACGGGCCCTCCCCTTCCTTCGCTCCCTCCCGCCATTCCCCCCTCCCTTCTGCCCTCCCTCTCTCATCCCCTCCCTTCCCTCCCCTCCTCCATGCCCCATCTCCCCCCCTCCCTCCCTCCCTCCCTCCCTCCCCCCTCCCCTCCCTCACTCCCTCCCCCCTATCTTCTTGTCCCCTCTCCTCATCCGTGTCGCCCTCCCCCTCAATCGTGGTTTTTCTTCCTCCTCGTCGTCCTCCTCGTCGTCATCCCCCTCCCTCGTCAACCTGCCCCCCCCCCCATCCAGTGCCGCATCCTTCTCCTCTTCCGCATCAGTCTCGTCATCTTCCTCGTCGTTCCTGCTCCATTGTTGTCTCCTCCATTCTTCGAGTGCCCGCTTTCGTCGTCGTGGCGTCGTCATCCCCCTTCTCCTCTCCATCTCCTCCACCCCGCCACGTCTCTCATCCTCGAACTTGCTGGTGGTGCTGCTGCTGCTGCTGCTGCTCCTCTTCCTCCCCCCCCCCCTCCTCCTCCTCCTCCTCCTCCTCCTCTTCCTCCTCATCCTCATCCTTTCTCCTCCTCTCTCCTCGTCCTGCTCCTCGTCATCCCCCTCCTACTTTTTCGTCCCCCACCCGATCCACTTCCTCCCTCTCCTCATCCTTGCCGTCCCCCCCGTCATCGTCGTCCTTTCTCCTCCCCCTCCTCCTGCTCATCCGCCTCCCCTCCCGCTGTCCGCCAATCCGCCGCTCCTCCTCCTCCTTTC